CACACAGTGCTAGTTGGGTGGATGTTTCAGTTGTAGCCTTACACAGTTGCATAATTGTAAATAGATTGAGTTCATACCGTGGTAAAAAGGAAGGATTTGTTTGTAGTCTTGGCATAGTAGCTGAGGAATTAATTGTTGCCTAATGAACCTGTATCTGAGGCAGTCCAGTCAACTGACTTCTGATGTTGCAGAGATCAACAACTGATCTGAATTATAACGTAGATCAGGGGTGGCCAAACTGCAGCTCAGGAGCCGCATGTGGCTCTTTCACACAGTCTAATTTAATGTTAATAAAAAAGCAACTTTGCATATTTTTCAATAAAAACGTGTGTGTAATATCTGTTCATGTCTTGCAGCTCTCAGACACCTGACATTTATTCTGTGCGGCTGTTACGTTAAACAAGTTTGGCCACCCCTGGTGTAGAGTGACTCAGATCTCCTTTCATGTTGCTATCATTCACAATAATTCTTGCAGTGTTACAAATGATCTTTCTTGCCTTTCAAAGCTTTTGAACTCTGCAGTTCACAATATTTCTATTCTGTTACCGGTATTAGGGTTGCCAAGCAACTAGTAGGAGGGTTGGGGGGGGGGGGCAGCATCCCAGGAGAAAAATTGAAAAGAGAAATAAGGCCTTATCTATTTACTGGAAGTTTTGACCATAGAGTTTCTGGTGTGGTCTAGAAGGAGTCTTTTTCACTTCCAGGAAGCTCTAGGAATTGCCAGGAACTCTGTGGTCAGAACTTCTGGTAAGTAGACAAGGCCTTATTTTTTATTATTCCCACCAAGATTATCATCTTCCCCCATTTGGTCCAATTTTCAGCCCACTGACCAGGTGACTTATCAGTGAGGAAGGGCCACAGTTACCTGGAGGTCTCCCACCATAAAGAATGCCAGCTCGAGACTGGAAAATTCCTAGAGATATGGGGGTGGAGCCTGAGCAGGGTAGAGTTTGGAGAGGGGAGGGACTGTAGATTCCATCCTCCAAAGCAACCATTTTCTCCAGAGGAACTGACTTCTGTTGCTTGGATGGTTGCATCCTCCAAAGCAACCATTTTCTCCAGAAGAACTGACTTCTGTTGCCTGGAGGGTTGCCAGATCCAGGTTGGGAAATATGTGGAGATTTTGGGGATGAAGCCTAGGGAAGGCGGGGTTTGGGGTAGGTAGGGACCTCAACAGGGTATAATACCATAGAGTCCACCCTCCAAAGCAGTCATTTTTCTCCAGAGGAACTGATCTTGGTTGTCTGGAGATCAATTATAATAGCGGGAGGTATCCTGGTGCTACCTGGAGGTTGGCAACACTAAACCCTAGTAAGTAGGCAAAAGGGAACCCTAACCTGTGTGCGTGTATCTGCATCTGCTAACTGAGAGTATATTTCATGCATCTGATGCCAGGCTGTGCCACAATAGCAGTTGCACCTTTCTTAAGTCTGTTGAAGTCAGCGGCCTTCGAAAGACATAACTCAATTGGTGATTGCACTGTAATGGCATTACCCTTGTGGAATTTATATTTCTCTCCTTCCCCTTTCCCATTTTAGGAATAAGCAAAGTCGGTTCTCTTTTTGTTGTTATTGTCGGCTGGTTGTTAATGGTTAATTTCCCAAATGACAAAACAATTGGACATTTCAGGAACCTCCATCTAATTTGTTTTTGCCTGATGTGAAAGAGCGAGGTTTAAATCGGGCAGCCAGTGATGCATTTAGATCACAAGTCTCCATGAATATATCAGGCAGAGGAACCCAGCAGAGAACAATTTCTCTGAACCGCCAACTAGCATTTAGGGAGAACTGTACGTAGAAACCAGATTGCTTGCCAAGCATATATTTCAGATTTTCCTCTTTAATGTTATTTTTATTTTAAAATATATTTTATTTTAAAAAATATCCCCCCCCCCCTTTCAGCTATCTGTTCCCAAGGCAGCTTTTGCAGAACACACACACACACACACACACACACACACAACACACATTAACCTAGTTCTGTTTCTTGCTGGTCAATGAATGGATGGTGAATGCTCTCTCTTTGCCTTTTTGAAATAAGCCCGTTGTGACTTTATTTATTTCTATGGCACCATCAATAAATGTGGAACTGTGCAAAGCAACATAAAGACAGACCCCTAGCCCAAGGAGCTGTCAATCTAAAATTTGAGGATGGGAAAGCAAAGATTACGGAAAGAGCCAGAGGAAATACAGAGACAAGGGCAACGGGGGGAGAACGCGCAGGAATGTACTTATACTAGGGTTCCACTTGTGGCGCCACAGTGGTGGGGGCATATGCAGTGAGGGCTTCCGGCCCACAGTAGGCCTCAGACCTGGAAGGGAGAATTCTGCTGCCTCTTCTAGCCCATCAGCTCTTGTGCTTGCCAAGAGCAGGGCAGGGAATCCTCCTCAGCTGGGATTGGGTGGGGTTTAACTCCCCCGAACTGGTCCCGCCCCCTTCCAGCCCTCCCACCTTGTCTCTTGGGGCACTGGAGTCTTATCATTCTCTGGTTTCCAGGGCAACAGGCCTAGCCACCACTGGAAGCGGCCTTGATGCTGGCTGGGGAGTAGGCTTGTCACCTTGGCAACTGTGATCTTGGCTGCCACCCCCCCCCCCTTATCCCATGTGGGCCCCAGCTCTGTGCTGGTGGTTTCCAAGATGGGTGCCAAGGAGCTGACCCGCTCACACAGGTGCTGCTTCTCATCCTGGCGGTCAAGGGAGAAGCCTAGCTCCATCAGAGCCAGTGTGGTATAGTGATTAGAGTCTTTGACTAGGATCTGGGGAGGCCCAGGTTTGAAATCCCCACTGTGCCCCGAAAGCTTGCTGGGTGGCCTTGGGCTCTCTCAGGCTAACTGAACTCTCAAGGTCACTATGAGGACAAAATGGAGACCAATGTAAGATGCTTTGCAGACTTACCCCTCGTCTAGGGTTGCCAGGTCTCCCCTGGCCACTGGTGGGGGGGATGGGGGGTTGCTAGATCCAAGTTGAAAAACGTCTGGAGATTTGTGGGTGGAGCCTGGAGAGGACAGGGACCTCAGCGGGGTACAGTGCTATAGAACCCACCCTCCAAAGCATCCTTTTTCTCCAGAGAAACTGATCTCTGAAGTCTGGAGATGAGCTGTAATTCCAGGGGATCCCCAGGTCCCACCTGGAGGCTGGCATCCCTACCCCATTCTGGTGTTGGCTGGTGGCCAGTGGAGATCTAGTTTGTACAACTAGTTATCCTGGTGTGGTAACTTTCCTCATTCATGGCAGTGGAGGGACATGAATGGGTATACATCTTTATCCATCTAGTATCTACCTTGAGCCTCAGTGAAAAAGGTGGACTATAAAGAATGTTAAAAAAAGGTACATTTTTATCCCGCCTTTCCTCAGTTGCAGTGGAGTTCAGGGTGGCATGCACGGCTCTCCTTTCCCCCTTTCATCCCCATCACAACTTTGTGAGCTAGGTTAGACTGAGAAAGTGTGAATGGTATACTGTCACCCCATGCCCTTCATTGGTCAGTGGGACTTAAATCTAGGTCTCATGGATCCAGGGTTGCCAGATCTCCTGGAATTAAAAGTGATCTCCAAACTACTAAGACCAGTCCCCCCTGGAGAGAATGGCCACTTTGGAGGGTGGATTTTATGGCTTATAGCCTGCTGAGGTCCAGGGGTCATTTCGTAGAAAAGGAGGTGCAGGAGCTCATTAGCATAACTTATGAGCATAACTTATTTGCATATGCCACGCCCCCTGACATCACCGAAAGTGTGTCAGAAGGCAACACCCACCGCTCAGGCTCCACTGGACTGTTTTGGATTGCTAGCTATTTGGTGGTGGGGTGGGGCGAACACGCAGATCTGTCCTCACAGAGGAGGGAGAGCTTGTACCTGAAGGCGGGCCGGGGGGGGGGGCGCTCTGCAACTTACTTGGCTGCTTCTTGCTCCTCGTGGCCTGACTGAGGGCTGCTGGGAGCAGGGGGCGGGGCTTGTTGCATGTGCCCGCCCCCTGGGCTCCTTACTGCCGGAGCTCCGCTCCTGTGCGCTCCCACAGGAAATGACCCCTGCTGAGGTCCCTCCTCTCTCCAAACTCCTCCATCCCCAGGTTCCACGTTCAATTCTCCAGGAATTTCCCTAATGGGAGTTGGCAGCTGTACCCAGATCTGAGTCCAGCACTCTAAATATTACACTACACTGGCTGTCCATGTACTTTTGATGTGTGGCTCAGGTCTGTCCATTGGAATGAATAAGGAAATTTCTATAATCAAGTGCATATATGAGCATCAAGGAGCATACTGAAATTTTACTGGGCCATTAGTATTCTACAGACAGGATAACTTGCTTTTCCTACATGTTTAATAAAAGCATTAGCAGTTACTAGGAACACCCTGGGGTGGCATGATGCAAAAAAGTTATATTTCCTGTCCTTTTACCACATTTATTACCTCATTTATTCATGTTTTATATGCATGTTTTAAAATGGAGTCAGATACACAAAGTGTTTTATTTTATTTATATCTGAAGTTTCATATGAGCCATTCCTTACAGTATAGCGCATTTACAGGTAGCTTCCATTTTTAGGGACCACTATATACAAGTTCAACATGCAAGAAAGCAGTTGCAATATGAGCTACATTTATTACCTCATTTATTCATGTTTTGTATGCATGTTTTAAAATGGAGTCAGTGTTTTATTTTATCTATATCTGAAGTTTCATATGAGCCATTCCTTACAGTATAGCGCATTTACAGGTAGCTTCCATTTTTAGGGACCACTATATACAAGTTCAGCATGCAAGAAAGCAGTTGCAATATGAGCTACAAGTGGAATTTTACTTCAAAGTGTAGCTTAAAACTTTCCCTGTCAACAGAAGACATTTAGAAGATCTTTAATGGGACAGATATTTAGGGGCTCCGGTAGATAACAGTGGTGCTAATGGTGACAGAGTGTCAACACAGTTGTCTTTGTTTATCTGCTCCTTGTTTCGATCCTCTGCTGTTGCAATTGAGTTAATAAGCATACTTTCCTTTTTTGTTAACAGACCAGAGACGATTTCCTTGGTCAAGTTGATGTGCCACTTAATCATCTTCCGGTAAGATCTTTCATTACCCACCTGCTTTATTTTGCTAGTGCTAAAGAGAGAATGTTTTACATTTCACACATAATAGAATAAGCTTGAATTATGGTTAAATACCTTATTTTTATATGATATTAGCGTGTATAAATCAAGAAACAGAGGCAAAAATGACAGGTCCTTTCTGGCTTGAGGAACTATGGTGGGTATGGCCTGCTAACCATTGGGGGACCGAGGGGGGAACATGGAAGGTGCCGTCACTGATGGCATGTCTCTCTAGGAATCACCGGAAACACTGTGGTAAAACCATAGAGTTTCTGCAATTTGTTTCTGGGTTTCCCCAATCATGACATCACACTGTCACCCAATTGAGATTTCTTTAGATCATGGGGATCAGGGGCTTAGCAGCCCCATACCCGGTCTGTTCACGCTCAACTGGTGATGCCTGAAAGCTATAATATGGCTCAGGAGAACAAACTTGACAGAATGGCATGCTGGAGTGATGGGAATGAACATAATGCTCCGTGAGCCTCTGAGATAACACACTCTGTGTGCTGCTTCAGTCTATGAGATAGTGATTCTCAGAATTTTACACTTGCTGAGTCAATTTGAGGTAGATGGAACCCTTTCGTTATTAACATTCTCTGATTTCTACTGCTGCTTTGATTTTTAAAAAACTTTGTACTCAAGCTGTCAGTCAGAATTCGATCAGACGATAGTGGGGTGGGTCCAAACAATCATCCTTCCCCTTGCAACCCCCTGCGTCCCCCCACACTCTGCTCCTGAGAGTCATGGGGCCGTCAAAGAGAGAGTGCAATAGAGCAGGAGGAAAACTTGCAACTTATGGGGGAATGGGCAATTTCTACTTGCGTGATCTCTTGCACAAGGTATGTGTTGGGGGGGGTCTCCTAATTCTCTGTCTTGCTGTAGGTTACCCCCTACCACATCACACTCAGAGGATTTTATGGCTCTCCCAAAGTGAGGTATCCAAAGAAGTGATCAGTGACTCACGAAAACTCATACCCTACCACAAATTTCGCTACTGGGCTCTTACTCTTTTCTACTGCCAAAGTGGGGACATGACTTACAAGGAGAAGGAGAAAGAGATTCATTCTGTAAACAATTTGTTTGATCCAAGCCAGAATGTCTGGAATGGAAGTATGGCTACAGGGCCTGAAACTTTTGTCTTGGTGATTCTCTATTGTGGTTTCAAGTGGTTTTTAAGAGCATGACTAGTAGAGACAGAAAAGACGTAGAGTCAGTCACTCCCCCCAGCCAACCCCATCGCTGATTAACTGTGAACCATAGCTCAGTACCTTAAACACTAGCATCTGTTATACTTCTGGAGGCGTGCTGTTTATTTTTTCTAAAATCTTGCCGTGTCCTCCTTTATCGTCATGTAGCATCATGCCTCTCGCAGTGCTGACAAGCAGGTTTGAAATTAGTGTCATTTTCATGATGAACTGAGAATCTCTTCTTAAAGTTCACATCAGATGCTCTGCTTTGGTTCCAAGTTGTCATTACTGATCTGCTCCATCCTATCTAACCTTTTAATTGCGTTCCTCACTTGTCTACATTCACTTGTAGTAACTAGAGAAAACCTGAATATCATTCATACTTTCTACATCTCTCTTTAAGGTCATAGGCCTTATGAGAAATTGCTCACAGTTACTTCTGAGGGGCTGCTAAGACTCCAATAAATCCAAATTAGATTAGATCCAGGGAAATGTACTGAAAACTCCTTTGAAGCTCACTTTACAAAGAACAGGTGGATTTTATTGATTCCACTTCCCATGCTACTTGATCCCCAGGCCCTAGGGAAAATTGCAATATATCTTTACTTAAACATATCCACGTGTTTAACTTTGTCTTAGGTGAGCCAAGCAAAGGGATAGTGAGTTGCCTTGGGGACGTCAGTACGAAAAGAAGAATGTTTTTATACCCTGCTTTTCTCTTCGTTAAAGAGTCTCAAGGTGGGGTACAATCGCCTTCCCTTCCTCTCCCCCACAACAGGAAACTTGTGAGGTGGCCAGGGCTGAGAGTGTCTTGAGGGAACTGTGACTGGCCCAAGGTCACCCAGCAGGCTTCATGTGGAGAAGGGAGGAGTCAAGCCCAGTTCTCCAGATCAGAGTCTGCTGCTCTAAACCTCCGGACCGAGCAGAAATTTGAACCTCATCTCTCAACTTCAAAACACAACACTCTTTATACTGCGCCAAGAGAGCCAGTTTGGTGTAGTGGTTAAGAGCGGCAGACTGTAATTCGGAGAACCGGGATTGAGTCCCTACTCCTTCACGTGCGGTCTGCTGGGTGACCTTGGGTCAGTCACAAGTTCTCTCAGAGCTGTTCTCTCAAGAGCTGTTTCTGTCAAGAGCTCTCTCAGCCCGACCTACCTCACAGGGTGTCTGTTGTGGGGAGGGGAAAGGAAAAGAGATTGTAAGCCGCTCTGAGACTCCAGGCTCCCCTCTGCCTTCTGGGGGAGGGTGGCCAGGAGAGGAAGGGGCAGGGCGCATTCAGGAGGGGGCGTCACCCCAAGCCTCCCCCCACCATGGCTACAGGCCTGGAAGTAACCCAAGCGCAGGGGACATGAGGAGTAATTTTTAAGAATACACTGGGAAAGAGGAGTGAGAGGGAGAATAAAAGAACACTATAGCGGCAGATGCCGCCGAAAGAACATTAATCTGCACAGCCAATCTGGAAAGATGTCAGCAAGTGCCATGGCACACACAGGCACCACGTTGGGGAACCCTGGTGTATTTCATGTATGTCCTCCTTCTCTCCCCCCTCCCCCCCAGGGGTTGTAAATGGCCAATACAGGCATTTTATTTATTTTCATTTAAAAGGGGAGGGGGGGGGAGTAGCCTCCTTCCACAAATATATGTGATCTCTTGCTGGGTGGGAGGGATAGAACCTCGAAGTGGCCCTCTCCCCAGTGATTCCAGTTACACTCTATGGAGCCAGTTTGAAGTTTTAAAGACGGAAGAGATGCACAAGGCTAAGGGAATCCTGTGTTGACGTTAAACAAACCAACTGGGATTTTTTATTCTACAGTTTGTATTGATACTTGCTATATTTTAGTGCTGAATTTTTACAAACCTGCTGGGCCCTCCAGTCTAGCATTGAGGTCCTGGCTTGTTTGATGCACGATAATCTGGCCAGCAGGTATATTTGTTAAATGTCCCTGGAGAAGCTTTCGTGTATTAGCTTCCTTAGTCAAAGCCGTTGATGACGTTAGCACTGCTTTAAGTGGGGTGGTGGTGGTGTTTGAATTCCCTGCCATCTAAAATGAAATCACTTGGGAACTTGTTAGGAGTGTGGTTTGTTATGGATGATTCATAAAAAAATAATTAGTCTCCTACAGTTTTCTGCTCCTTATGGGAAAACTGTTTGAGCTCCTGCCTGGGTGTCATAGAAATAGCTGTATCCATTCCTTTCATCGTCACTGACCACCCATTTAGATGCTGTATATAGGAGAGAAACTTGGTCACAATTGAAAAGGTTTCTCCCTTGCCTCCTTTTCTTTGTAAGTTAAAACTGTGTAAGTTAAAGAGTGATTAACACATGGAATTCACTGCCACAGGAGGAGGTGGCGGCTACAAGCATGCACGGCTTCAAGAGGGAATTAGATAAGCATATGGAGCAGAAGTCCATCAGTGGCTATTAGCCACAAGGTAAAGATAGGAACAATCAGTCTGGGGCAAGTGATGCTCTGTATTCTTGGTGTTTGAGGGGGGCAACAGTGGGAGGGCTTCTGTTGTCCTGGCCCCACTGATGGACCTCCTGATGGCACCTGGTATTTTTGGCCACTGTGTGACAGAGTGTTGGACTAGATCCAACATTGGCTTCTCTTATGTTCTTATGTTCTAAAAACCTGAAATATCCACCTCGACTGCTTTGTTACAGACTATAAGTAGCAGTAATTAGGCTTGTCAGATCTAGGTTGGAAAATACCAGGAAATTTGGGGGGTGGAGCCTGAGGAGGGCGGGGTTTGGGGAGGGGAGAGACTCCAGTGGGGTTTAATGTCATAAAGACCGCCTTCCAAAGTAGCCATTTTCTCTAGAGGAACTGATCTCTTTCACCTGGAGAGTAGTTGTAATAGTGGACAACCTCCAGTCACCACTTGGAGGTTACAAAAGTAGAGAGATCACGGGATAGGTTGTCAAGCTAAGTATACACACCATGAAGAATGATGAAATTGCAACTTATATAAGCAACTAAATTTGTGTAACGCAATTAATATCTCAATTTCTATGTACCAAAGATTCAGCAATCTTTTAGTGTCCCTTATAAACTGCTGAGACAGTCACATTAATTCATTCAGCAGGTGGACTCCATGTATTCTAACCATTAAGAGTCCTTGCTATGATTTGACCTTGTTGAAAACTGGAGGGGACGGAGGTTGTCAGCCGATTTATTCTCCATTCTGTACTTCCATAAAGCTCACAAACACGACTCCAACAGGCCAGTGATAATGCCTGTTTCACCCACTTCTTCGTGGGAAATCGTGAAGATTCTAAGATTCGTCCGGTTAAGGCTGGGTGGTCAATCCTAGGTTTCCAAAACAGCAGTTAAAGCCAAACCTTTTCTTGTCAGTGCCGGCACATTTTTGGTACATAGAAATTAAGATATTAATTGCATTACATAAATTTAGCTGTTTATATAAATTGCAATTTTGTCATTCTTCACGGTGGGTATACGTAGTTTGACGACCTGGAGGTTGGCAACCCCAGCAAAGTGAGACCCATGGTCAGTCTTTCAGAAGATTTTATTTTATTAATCTAAGGGAAGTACAGGCTTCCAGCACGTGTGTGCGCAAATTTTATCGGAGCAGTGGCACTCTGAACAGAAGCAAATTTTGGAATCAATGCACCTCTCCAGCTTCTTTCTCACCTGCAAAAGGGGATCTATAAGCATCTTCTCCCTCCCCCCACAACAGTGCTGTTGCTGTGATCAAGTTCTCAGCTTCGCTGCACCTGCATTTCCTTTAAAAAAAAAAGTTAAGACTCTGATTGCACAAATC